CAAGTGGCTGGAAATAAGTCAGAGGCATGGGGAGCTAGAGGCACATGCCCCAGGAACATGCTGGAGTAATAGCACAAGTCACCAGGGAAGGCTGCCAAGGAATGATGGAGAAAGGGAAAAGTGGGAAGGGGACAGATTCTTTGGGCAGAAATGAATGAGGGACCATAGGAGAGCTCCGCCCACCCAAAGCCTAGCAAGGGAAGTTCTAAGAAGGTAATGGTCAGCATTATCTGATGGAGGTGAGGATGGAGTGAGAGAGTGTTCACCAGTCTGGAGAGTGAGAGGTCTTAGGGTAGAAGGTGAGGAAAAGTGAGAAATGATGAGCAATGGAGGGATGAGGAAATAGAATAATGATCACTGTACAATTTCGATACTTTAATAACGGTAAGATGAGGAGAGGGTGGTGGGGAGGGGAAGTGGGCAAGCGACACTCTTTTTAGAGTGGGATTGGAGACAGGATTCTGTGTTAAAGGAGCAAGAGACTGCAGATAAGAGAAGGAGTCCAGTTTAGGAAGAGAGTGGCTGCTAGTCGGGAAAGGAGAGGGGTCTTGAAAGTAGTGACAGGGTTGGAGGAGGAGCCAAGTAGAGCCGATATGATACAGAGGAGGAGTGCTGATGGCGCCACCCAGTCTCGTCTCCGTTCCACTGACACTGAGGCGTTCTCCTCTCAAAGGATTTAAAAAGCACCACCTGGAAACCAGGGTGGGATTAGCTTCTAGTCCTACTTTCAGACCCAGTTCCCATATGACCCAGTACTCTTGCACAACCAAGACCACCTTATTTGTCAAGCCAAGTATCAGGGCAGTTCACGCTCCTTGGCCTGTTCCACGCTATTGTCCAGATGAAACAAAGCAGTTTTGTTAGCAGGTGAGACTTTGTATACATTATCCAAGTAACCAGGGTCCTGCAATTAGGTTTATCCACTTTCCATACAGTTCTTTAAAGAAGTCTATCTTCATACACATACGAGTTTTCCAGTCTAAAAGTCCTTGGACTCTATAGATTTAGTATAAATGTAAATCCTTCTCATCCTCCCATGCTCCTTTGGGGGGGGCTCTCATATACTCAAATACCTCTCCACCACTCATCTTTTATAGTTTGTCCTGCTTTGTAGCTCAGAGTACCAGGAAAGGTGCCTTATACATCCTTAGGGGGAAGGAGCCATTTCTCCTTCCCCCTAAGGCTTCTCTCCCCAAGGCTGCATTTAGAACTTCTATTCAAGACATATATGAACAATCAAACATTGGCTAGCCCCATTAAAGACAATTAGTGGACCTTCCTTGAAAGAACATTCTAGGGCTGGAGAAATGGCTCAGCATTTAAAGGCTAGGCTCACAACCAAAACTATAAGAACATTTTAGTTTGTGCACAGAAACAGACAGAGGACTTCCTCTCTCCATGAGTACCCTTGGAGATCTACAGAAACTTCCCACTGACCCTACATCTCAGTTTCAGCCAGTTTCTGCATGTTGTATAAAATGCCAATCTGCTCCTTCATTTCTGGTGTTAAAGCCTTCCTAATGCCTCACTGGAAAATTCCATGCAATTCCTTAGCATAGAGCGCAAGCCCTTCATGGTTTGACCCTACTGCTTTTCCAACCACATCCCTCTGCATCTCTGTGTCCAGGCATTTGGAAAAACCCCTTTCCACTTTAGGCATTTTGGACACTGATCTTTTCACACAGCACTGTCCTCCATTCCCCTCTATCCCCTCACTACTTCACCAAAGCTAACTGAACCCATCCTTCTTTTCTGAGCTCAGCTGTCCTAAGAGTCAGCCTCCAGGCCCTGAGAAGAGGTGACTGTTTCATTTACTCCCACTGATCTGCCATTGCCCTTCATGTGGCAGAAATCATTTTATACAGTAATTGTCTGTTCACTGGTTGGTTGTCCCTGCTAGAATGTGTTCATGAGGAAAGGGACCATTTGGTTTTGCATGCCTCTGTTACCTAGTTTATTGCTGAATGCTTGTTCAATAAATGTCTCCCCGAAATAACAAGCGAAGACTTTCTTTTTTGAGAAAATATTTGAACCTCTAGGCAAAGCAACTAGTCTTGAGTGAAGGGAATCACTCTACCCCACTTATCAAACTTAGGAGTGTGAAGAGAAATGAAGATGGTTTATCTCCCAAATCCTGATTGTGGGCAATGGCTGGACCATGCAGGGTGGGAGACAATGCCACATCGTTGCTTAAGGACAGTAGCCGTCACTGTGACTAGTATACAAAAAAACTGCTTTGCACAGGAGTAGAAGAGGGCCGGGGCAAGGCATTCAGAGTGCCAGCTCATGGAGGGATCCACAGTAAGGGGATTTTATTTTTATAGTACTACAGATTAAATGAACATCCTAGTCAAGTGCTTTACTGGTGAGCTACATCCTTGTCTTATGCTCCCCGTGCCCACACCAACCTTTTTTTTGTTGTTAATGATGGGATCTCACTAAATTGCCCAGGCAGGCCTTGAATTTGTAATCCTCCTGCTGAGGTTACAGACCTATGCTGCCAGGCCTGGCTTGATTTTTACAAGCAAAGCAAACAACAGCAAACAGAGTTGGTTTGGAAACTTCTCTCCCTTCTGTGACCCGGAAAAGAAGACACCCAAGGAGGGGAAGATGTACCATATCCCTCTGGTTCCACTAGTTTAACCGAACAGTTACTAAGTGCCTGCTCTATGTAGACATAGGGACAGGCCCTGGGGACACAGTGTGGCTAAACTGCCAGCTCTCCTTCCTCTCTTTGCAGGGCTCAATGTCCAGAGCTGTCCCCCAGCATCACTCAGTCACTTCAGTAAAAATTGAGTAGCATCTTAGATCACTGCTAAGTGATAGGTTCAGATTATGGATTTACAGAATAAGGAAATCTAGCCTAGTCAGAAGGAAGGGAAAACTTTCTCCAGTAAGGAGTGTTGAAGAACAATAAGCATTCCAGAAGAATCTGCACCATGGCCTTCTGGTCTTCATCAAGTTAAGAAGGAACCTCTGCAATCAATTCCCAGTTATGCAGGCTCTGTGGAGGCTCCTTAAAAACACACACACACACACACACACACACACACACACACACACACACACACACACACACACACGGTTCATTTATTTAAAGAACGAGACATGCGTGAAGGACTGTTTAATGAGACTGTAGATTGCAGTGATGACCCAGGTGACCAGTCCCCATCCAGTCGCCAAAAGCTCTGGCCCTCAACCATCCTCTTTTACAACCCTGCAAGCTTGAGTTCAGGGGCAGCTTCCTCTCAAAGCTGGAGGAGCCAGCCAGAGGCTGGGAAGGGTAGGGGGAGTGGGAAGGCAGAGGAGAAGGGCCAGTGGGAGGTCACTCGCCCATACACAGTGAACTGATGCCCCTCTTTCAGGAAGAGCATGGCGCAGCAGCTATATTTGAAAACCGAGGTAAACAAGAGCTCAGCTCAATTGGACAGGGCACAACAGCTGTGGAAGATTAATCACAGGAGCGCGGCTGCATGTCACCAGGTCGCTGGAGGCCCGCAGGCTTCCCTTTTGGTACCCCACCAGAAGACCGGATGTGTTCCTATCATGTACCCACAATCCTCCCCCTTTGGGGGTTTCTTGACCACCCAGGAGCTGGGCACCTGGCGCCCAGCTGCAGCCTGTGTTTCTGATAAATTGCACCCAATTTCAATCTTTCTGCCTGGGAAACCTTAGCACCAAACGTTCAGAGGTTTGGTTTTTTTAATTGCCAAAAGAGAAAGAGAAACAACGAGGGAGAGAAGGATAGGAGGCAGGCAGTGAGTGAGGAAATTTACAGCGCTGCATTAAAGGCGTTTGCTCTATTTAGCCCCCCCCCCCCCCATGGTTAAAAATAAAACACAAAGAATAAAAAGGAAAAACTGCCTCCTCCCCCGAAACCCCTCTAGCAAATCGCAAATCATTTTCATCCTCTGCCCCAGTGGCTCAGGTCCTCAGGGCAGGTCACTCAGGGCCTGCCGAAGCAGGGCTAGCCTTTAAATGAGGGCATCTGTGTGTGTGTGTGTGTGTGTGTGTGTGTGTGTGTGTGTGAGAGAGAGAGAGAGAGAGAGAGAGAGAGAGAGAGAGAGAGAGAGAGAGAGAGAGAGAGAGAGAGAGAGAGAGAGAGAGAGAGAGATTGAGAGTTGAGGGAAAAGGGGGGCTTAGTTATATACTTTCACTTCTCTCCACGGGCCTGGGATCTCCCAGACCACGGGGACTCTGAAATCTCAGGATTTAAGTCTCTCCTTTCCTTCTGCTTGGTCCAGGAGCCCGCGGGGAGGATGAGGGAGGGGAAGAGGTGCTGGGGCTGCGGTTGCAGGCCCGCGGCAATGGAGTCCCAAGGTTGGTGTGCCCGTGTACCGTGTGTGTGTGTGTGTGTGTGTGTGTGTGTGTGTGTGTGTGTGTGTGTGTGTGTGTGTACCCAGGCCCGCGCCGAGCGAATAACGCGGTCCCCCTCCTAACCCCAGAACCGGTGGACACTCAACCCTAGGAGCTCAACACGCCATGGCACCGGCGAGACACACATGTACACACACACACACACACACACACACACACACACACACACACACACATCTGGCATGCAGATTCCCCATTGAGATGCCCCCTCCACTAAGTCAGCAAACGCACGACAGGACTGTACACACGCTTCCAGTGCCATGGCTCACAGGCATCTCTCGTGGCAACCCCAGCACCCTCGCCTAGACACTCTGCCAGATCCTCCCCCCCAACACCGCATACACAACGTACACTTTCCCGGGCACCCTCCCCCACTTCTTCTGGCACTAAACCCACAGGGAGGCAGTGCATGCGAATGATCTTGAGAAATAACTTATCATGATCCTTCACCGGGGACCCTCGGGGGGGGGGGGTGCATCTTAAACCCCGGATCTTGGTGTCCCCTGCCTCTGCCGCCCACCGGGGGGTGGGGTGGGTGGGTTGAGGGCTCATCTCATTACTCACCGATTGCCCTCAGCCTCCAGAGCCCGATGGGCAAGTGAGGCGGGCTAGGAAGGTGCGCGATGCCCGCGCCGCCCGGGCTCCTCACCGGCCACAGCGGCTCATCGCCCCCGCGGGCTGCAGGCCGGCTGCAGCGGCGCCCAGGGCATGACAGTCGGCCGCGGCCGCCCGCCGGAGCTCGTGGGCTGGCAGCTGTCAGAGGACTGCGGGGCAGCGCATCTGGAGCTCGAGCGCTGGGGGCCAGGGCGCAGGGCACGGAGTGCGGACCCTCAGCGCCTAGCCAAGGAACAGGGATGGCCCGAGTGGCCCGGGCAAGGCCGGGAGTCCCGGCCGCTTTCGCCTGGGGATCCCTGCGGGAGGGGCGGGACAGAGAGCAGCGCGGCGCGCCCTGGCGGCTCGGAGGGACCCCGGAGGGGGCTGGCTGCCGTGTCGCCCGGGCTTTCCCGGGGCTGGGAGCACGCGACTCAGCCTCGCCTGCCGTCACCGCGGGAGACGTCTCGGCCTCGCAGCGTGCAGAGGGGACGAGCGTAGGGGCCGGTTTCTGGGCGAGCCTAGAGCTTTGCCCATTAAGCCTCCGCAAGAAGCCAAATCAAAAAGCCAATCTCCAAGCCTCCAAACCCGACGTCACCCTATCAGCTGGGAGACAGCCACACCGAATGACAAGCCGCGCATATTTAGCCTCGCGCACGGAGGGGAGACTTGTACAACGCTTCGTGGCGGGCCAGGGACATTGGGCCCGATCCTCGCACGCAGGGAGCCCCGGAATATCGAAGGGGGACACAAGCCCTACCCGGAGGCCACCCACCCAATCGTTGAGCCCTGGAGCTTGGAGCTTTGCGACAGGCAGCAGCTGTGAGAAGGCGAAGCGTCCTGACCTGGATTCCCCAGAGTTGGAAGCTAGCAGGCGGGAGCTCAGCACCAGCTTTCCCCCTTGTCCCCAGGAGACGCCGCCTGAAATTCCGAAATTAAGTCCCCTCCAAACACATCTGTGGTTTTTAAATATAGCAGGGGACGATTACCCAGGCAGGGTCCACCCAAGCCTAGGGGAGGACTTAAGGGGATGGAGGTTGGCTGGGGGGGCGCTCCTTTTTTTCTCCTCCTGTTTGCCGTTTACCCCCCACCCCCCCCACCCCACTCTTGGTGCAGAACTCAGCCTGTCATTTTCTCATCCGAAGTCAAACAACAGCTTTGTGAGAGACGCTTTGGGCTTTGGTGAGCGCTGCTATGTAGGCTTTGGGGTTGGTTGGGTTTTTTTTGGGGGGGGGGTTGTGTTTTTTTTGTTTTTTGTGTTTTTTTTTTTTTGCTAAAAATAAAAGGAGGCTGCCTCTCAAATTGCTGCTTACTCTGGGCCTGAAGGATGGAGAAGAGATGGTTCTTTGATGCAGCAAACAGAACCAGGGTTTGGGGCTTGGCTCGAGAGTAGTGTACACACACAGCCTTAAATCAGATGCCTATAATTTCTGCTCTATTTGTCAGGCGTGGTCCTGGTGGCAGGAGGAGGAGACAGACCACGCCTAAGGATGGGACTGCGTGTCCTCGGTTGATCGGTGTCATCAGGCAGCTGTTAAATGAGAATAGTGGCTGCCCCCTTTGTATAGATACCAGTGTAGATAGGACAGGAACAGTTCTCGACACTTCTGCTGCCTGAAGCCAAGTATAAAGGGGAGTCACAGAGCGTCATGACACCAAGCATCAGCAGCAGGGTCAGGGTTGGTGCCAGTGAATTGGATTGCATTATTTGCTGTCATCCTCATAGGAGGGTATGAAACAAACGTGATTACTACTTGCACTTTTCTTTCTTTCTTTTTTTTTTTTTTTTTTTTTTTTTTTTTGGTTGACCTTTGGTCTTGAAGACCTTAAACAGCTATCCTGAAGCTACATGCAGCAGGCTGGGAACAAGCGGCAGGTGTGATACCACAAATGGCATGTACAACTTCTAGATCCCTGCCACTGGGGAGATGCGCCTAAAGAGGTTAGTTAGGTTTGGCCCAAAGAAGTTAAGTGAGTATAAGAGGCAGAAAGCACCTGAGCTTGGAAGAAAATATACTCTTTTTTCAGGCCCTTGGTTCAGCGTTCCTTTAGCAAGTCAGGAAGCTATCCTGCCCCGGATTGGGGTTCTGCATGTTCCCTTAGGTGTGCTTTCAGATACTTTATGGGCCTTGAATTTGGTGGTTTTAGGGCTGAGACTCTGGCTTCAGTGACTGCTAAAGGGTTGAGGTTTCATAGACACGAGGCAGCAGGTTTTACCTTGTGCTTGTCTGCATGGAGCGGTGGGGTGTCTGACTGGACTGCAATCAGGATAGAGAGGGATGGAAGGTGTGCAAATTGGGACAGCTTTTAGGAAAGGTAAATTTTTTTTGAAGATTTATTTGTTTATTACGTATACTGTGTTCTGCCTGCATGTATGCCTGCAGGCCAGAAGAGGGCATCGGATCTGATTATGGATGGCTGTGAGGCACCATGTGGTTGCTGGGAATTGAACTCAGGATTGCCTGGGAGAGCAACAAGTGCTCTTAACCACTGAGCCATCTCTCCAGCCCCCAGGAAAGGTAATTTTTAAAGACACCTCACATCCCTTATAAAAGTGAGAGCCCCCTGGGACTCAGTAATTTTACTGGAACACAGCAATCATTAAGGGTATGAGTAAAGAGCTGGGTTACAAGGATGTTTGTGATGGTACTTATAACAGTAAAAACCTGAGATTTTTTTCAACAAAATTGGTGGAATACATCATACTCCAGTGACTCAATACCATGTAAAATGCTGATGCAGCATTCTGTGTGTTGACATGGAAAGGTTTCCATGATGTATGAGAATGAGAAAAAAGCAGGAGAGAGAGAGAGAGAGAGAGAGAGAGAGAGAGAGAGAGAGAGAGAGAGAGAATATATATGTATGGCTGTGCCCTGACAACATAAAAACACATAAAACATTTTAAGTGGCTGTTCTTGATGGTAGGGTTTCTAGTGATTATATATATATATATATATATATAATATATATAAAAATAAATATAATAATTATATATACTTATTGAGGAATAACTTATGAACAATCAAACCACTTGCTTTAAGTGTATAGGTTGATGGTTGTGACAGTTTGGATCTTCAATGTCGCCCCCCAAATAAAGGCTTGCTCTTAAGGTGCTATTGAGAGGTGGTAAGGAGTTGCTTAGTAGGAAGTCTTTAGGTCATTAGAGACATACCCTTAGAAGTGATTGGGAGGGAAAGAGAGGTAGGGGGTTCAGATGGTAATGTATTTGTCATGCAATCAAGATCTAAGTTTAGATTCCCCAGAGCCCATATAAAAAAAAGCTAGGTATGGTGGTTCATGCCTGTAATCCCAGTGCTGGACAGTAGGTAGGGTGCAGAGACGGGCGGAACCCTGGAGTGAATTGGCCAGCCAGGCCAGTCAAATAGGCATTTCCAGGTTCAGTGAGAGACCCTGTCTCAGAAATTAAGTTAGAGAGCATGCACGCACACACACATCCATGCACACACCAGCACACATATGCACATACAGGACTTTGGGGTTATACTTCTCCTTTTCTCTTTGGTATTTCCTGGCTACAAGGTAAACATTTTTGCTCTGCTGTGCGCTCTGGCCATGATCTGCTGCTGCCTTAGTAGACCCTAAGCAACTGCAGCCCCACAGTCATGGGTTAGAACTTCCAGAACCAACCTTTTCTCTTTAGAAGTTAATTATCTTAGACACTTATTATAGCAATGCTACACTGACTAGCACAACGAGTCTGGTAAAAGTGCTTACAAGTAAAGCAACAACAAAATCAGGGTGTAGATCGCCTCCCACATCCAAACCTCTCCCCAGCTCCTTATGTGCACCCCTTCTCCATTCTACTGGTTGCTGATATGCTTCTCTAGAGAGTTTTGTTTGTTTCAGAGTCTTCCTTGTTATATTTTTCTGTTGATACTTATCTCAGTTACTTTTCCTATTGCTGTGATAGATAAAATACTCTGACAAAAGCAACTTCATGAAAGAAGGTTTTATTATTTGGGTTCAATGTTCCAGGGTCCATCATGATGGGAAATTATGGTGGCAGGAGCTTGGGAGCTGGTCACATTGCACCAGAGAGCAATGAGTGTTCACAGTCAACTAGATTCCTCTTTTATAATCACTTCAGGACCAGGGCCTAGGGAATGGTGCCACCCCATTTTTAGGGTGGGTATTCCCAGTCGTTGAACATATCTAGATAATCCCTTACTGGAAAGCCCAGAGCCTAACCTAATATAGACAATCCCTTACAGGTGTGCCTACCCTTGTTCCCTAGGTGATTCCAGCTCCTGTCAATCAATAGTAACCATCACATGAAGAAGACACACATGAAGTGTGTCTTCAGTGAACATTAACTGTTCTCTAAAACCACATACCACCAGCAATATTAAGAATAATACTAGTCTTGGCTTTTAAAAAGCCAACTAACAACTAATAAAAACAAACAGCAGGCAGTGTAGGTGGAATTTTCTTTGGGCCATCAACTCACAATAAATGACATGGAGACTTACTATAGCTATGAAAGCTCGGCCTTAGCTTAGGCTTGTTTCTAACTAGCACTTATCACTTAAATTAACCCATACTTTTAAATCTACATTCTCTCTTGCACTCATTACCTCATCTCCATTGTGTCCATCCTGCTTATTCTGAATATGGTTGGCAACTCCACCTTTCTTTTGCCCAGAAGAAAGTCTTCTGCCCAGACTTTCCAGAAGTCCCAGCTACATCTTCTGCCTAGTTATTGGCTGTTTAGCTTTTTGTTATACCAATCACAGTGACGTATCTTCACACAGTATAATCAAATATCTCACAAGGCAGGAGCACAGTGTCCTCTGACCCCCTATCAGGGTACTGCTGAGCAGAAGGATGGGAGAGGAGGGAGATGCCCATGCATCTCAAAACTGCAGCTCTAAACAGAGTTAACTTGTGTGGGTTCTAGGAGTTCATAGGAGGCTAAAAACAACAAAGGTGAACCTCACACTCTGGGCCTTAACATCCTCATCAGTAAAATGGAAATATTAATAATGACCATAATAATACCCACTGAGTAGAACTGTGAGGATTCAGAGAGATTCTGTTTGTTTACAAAGTAATTCCTAAATATACGTGGATTTCTTTTCATTCTCCAGCGCTTTCTCTCTTCACCCCGCCTTTCTTCCCCTCTTAAGTTCAGCAGCCCCTTTCATGTGACCAATGAAGTCTCGGGCTTCTGAACTCTGATGATCTTGCTTCGTGGAAAACATCAAATTTGGTGAGAGACTGTCTTCTGCTTCCGTCATCATTCATCATTTATTCCTGGCTGTGCTTGAACTGAAGGGGATTACCATACAATAGCAAGCACACCGTTCTTTACTGTCAGCATTGGAAGCCTCGGGAAGCTCCTGTTCAATGGAAAAGTTAACTTATGCAACCCAGCCACAGAGCTTAAAGAGGGAAAGTCGGACCCTTCTTATGGATCTGAATTGTGTGCCTCAAAACGGGTATTTAAGCCTTAACCACCAGTGCCTTACTTAGAGTGTGATCATTTCGGGGGCTGGCGAGATAGCTTGGTCTGGGAAGTGCTTGCTGTGTAAGAATGCGTTTGATTGCCAGCAGTCATGTAAAACCTGGATGCAGCAGTAGATGGTTGTCATCTCAGTCCTAAGTAGGCAGAGACAGGAAGGTGACCAGCCAGTCTTCAGCCAGTCTCACAGGTTCAGTGAGAGACCTTGCCTTAAATAAGACAAACAGGAAATTGAAGGTAGATAATTGATATCTACCTCTGGTCTCCATGAACACATGCTTGCATACTGTGTGTGTGTATACACACACACACACACACACACACACACACACACACACACACACACACAGAGAAAGAGAATGTAATAATTTGAAAATAGAGTAATCAAGCCGAAACTGGGTGATGAGGTAAGCTTCAACACAGTATGACAAGTGTCTATAGAAAAAGATTAGGATACAGACAGGTGGGTGACCTTGGAAGAACACCAAGAGGGCAGCCATTAGCTGGCTAGAGAGAAAGAAACCAAATGTGCTAGTGACTCGATCTTGAACTTCTAGCCTCCAGAAAGTGTAAGAAAAAAAAAGATTACCATGTGCTAGTCAGCTGTATGTTGCTGCATATAAAATACCTGAGATAATAAATTTAATAAAGGAAATGTTTATTTTGGCTCATGATTTCAGAGGTTTCTAATCCAATGGTTGTCTATCTCTATTGTCTGGGTCTGTGGTGCACAATACATCACAGTGTCCACATGGGAGAGGAGACTTTTCACTCCTGTGCTTGGTAAATGGCAGCTGGGAGTTGAGGGAAAGAGGGAGACCCTGGGGTCTTGTGGTTGTTTGAATGTAATTGGCCCCCATAGGCTCATAGGGAGTGATACTTTTAGGAGGTAAGGCAATAGGTATAGCCTTGTTGGAAGAAGTGTGTCACTATGGACACCCAGTATCTCAATTTACTTCCTGTTGACTGGGGTCAAGATACAGGACTCTTAGCTCCCTCTCCAGCACCATGTCAGCCTGTACACCACCATGTCCCACCATGATGATAATGGACTAAATCTCTGAAACTGTAAGCCACCCCATTAAATGTTTTCCTTTATAAGAGTTGCCATGGTCATGGTGTCTCCTCTCAGCAACAGAAACCCTAACTAAGACAGGACACAATATCTCCTTCAAGGATAGAACCTCAGTGATCTCACTTCCTTCTGTGAGATCTAACCTCCTAAACATTCCAACACTTCCCAACAGCACCACAGGATGGTAACAAAGCTTTTAACATACAGTATTTGAGGGATACCTACCTAAACCACGGCACAACCCTAGTGAAGGATGCAAGTATTCTGACTGCTTTTTGAGTGTCTGTCTTAGAACGTCCTTCTTTTGCCTAGGCTGAGTAGCATGCTCAGAGAGGCAGGTAGGATGACTAACAGGAAAGGACCATGAAGCTTCACAATAATGGTTCATTATTTCCTGCCATGCCCCAGAACTTCACAACGGAGGTCTCTGGCATTTCACGAGGATCAGCCATGCTTGCTCCCCTATCCTAGGCTCTAAATTCAATGTAGGTTGTAGTGTTGCTGCTAATAGGCAGCCTAGGTGCCAGCATTCCACAGGTCTTTACAATATGACAACAGGAGCCACAGAAGCAGGTAATCTGGACCAGTGAGATGCTTCTCTAGTAAAGGCATTTACCCCAAGTCTAGCAACATGGGCTCAACTCCCAGGACCCACACGGTGGAAGGAGAAAATAGACTCTTGAAAGTTGTCCTCTGAATTGCTGTAGCATGCATGCCCGCACATATGCACATAAGTGTGTACACCAGCACACACACAATAAATAAGCAAAATGTCAGAGAATAAAACAGATAAGTTGAATTTTAAGGAAAGTTCCAGGGAAGCCCTATAGAGAAGAAACAATTTGGTAAGTAATTTAGTGCAATGTAATTCTTTCCTATTGTTTACATTAGTTTTAATCTTATTATAACTTGAATTTTAAGAGAAGTCTCTTAATTGTTTTTTCTTATGCCCTTTAACAAAATTGTTTTCTATTTTGAAAGGTATTCAGAGAACTTCCACAAAGTAAGTACAATGTCTAACCAATACCCAAATAACAAATATTAACCATATAGGTTCCCCTCTTGCATCTCCCCACCCTGCTTTCTCCTCTCCTCTATCCTAAACCGCCCCCCATTTTTCAACAGGTTTTCTCCACGTAGCTCTGGATGTCCTGGAACTCCTTCAGCAGACCAGGCTGACCTCAAACTCACAGAGATCTGCCTGCCTCTGCCTCTAGAGTGCTGGGATTAAAGTTGTGCACCACCACCACCTGGCATCTATTCTGACTTCTGAAACTCAACATTAGTCCTTTTATAAAGAGTGTTTTGCATGCATGCAAAGCACTCTACACAGGCCTGAAGAGGGCATCAGATCCCTTAGAACTGGAGTTACAGATGATTGTTAAGCTGCCAGTGAATGCTGGGAACTCAACCCTCTACCCTCTGCTGGAGCACCACCGAGCCATCGCTCCAGCCCCTACACATTGGTCTTATGTGATTTTTGAGCTGTATGTAAAGAGGCACGTATAAAATGGGCTATCAAGCTCAGTACAACTTTTGTGAGGTTCATCGGTGTTGTATACAGAAGGAATTAATCTCCTTTGCTCAACAGTCTTCATGTCCAAGGAACACATATTTCAGGTTTTTAAGTTTTTAGTTGACAAATGACTATGTATAGCTATGTATATAATATATTGTCTCAATAGATGGATATATTATGGAAAGATCAATTCAGGCTAGTTGTCATATCTATCATGCCACACATCTACCATTTCTTTGTGGTGAAATCAGCTGTTTGGAGGTCCACAGCACATTGTTATTATTGGTTCCTGTAGACATCACATTGTGCCATAAGACACCAGAAGGGGCTCCTCTAACTGAGCCTTTATAATGTTCATCCTTTCTGGTTTCCAGGTTACTGTCTTTCTTTAACTATCCTGTACAATGCCACTGTGCAGGTTTATATAGCCACTTGTGTCCCTTGGTTCACCTGCGCACCTGGGTTCAGAATCTCTGGTGTACAGGGTGGAGCATGCAACATTGATTGACAATAGCTGTTGTCAGCTGTTTATTCTGATTCCTATTTTAGCTCTCCTGCATTATTTTGTCACATTCTTGTCTCTGACAGTCTACTTAATTTTAACCATTCTGGTAGATGTATACTTTACTTTATTCTACAGTTTAAATTTACATTATCCTAATGACTATTGAACTGGAAATGTTTTCATACATACATTGGCCTTTACATATTCACTTTTAAGTATGTCCCCAGTCTGTGGCTTAATTTTGTATAAGTTTGTCTGTGTTTTCCTTGCTGTGGTGTGTAGCATCTTTGCACATTCTGGGTAAGATCTTATTTGGATTTTCTCTCTCTCTCTCTCTTTCTCTTTTTCTTTCTTTTTTTCAAAAGAATTCGACCACCGAACCCCATCCCCAGTGCTTGGCATGAGTCTTCTTACACTTTGCACACTGCAGATATCTCCTCAGCCTGTCCTTGCTGTCTCATCTTCCGCATTATGTCTTTGGATGAGCAAAAGTTCTTACTTCTAACAAATTACATTTCTTATGATTTTCTTTTTTCTTTCCAGTGCTTTCTGTTTGCTGTTTGTCTATCTGAGGTCATGAAGATGCTGTTCTGTGTGCAAGTTTAGGGTTCACACAGTTTAGACCTGAACTCCACTGGAAGTCAACCTTAATCCAAAAGAAGCTTGGAAGGTGGGCTGGTATGCTCAGTACAGTTTTTATACAGCATTTTCATATTTATTGTAGAGTAGGCGTGGAATGCTGTCCTTTTTTCTGTACAAATATACAAATAGTATATTTATAATATAAATATAATAATATAGTTATAAATAATGTAAAATAGCATAAATAATAAATAATATAAAAATATGCGTGTAGTTTACTGAAAAGAGTCTAATTCACCTGCTGTGACCCCTTTGATATAAATCAAGTGTTCCTGTGTATGTGTCTGTAGTGGACTGTTTTATCAGCATATTTTCTGCTTTTATAGCCATACTATATTATTTCACTTATTAAAATTTATCTTAAAATATTAGTGCTGAGTAGAATTGGAGTAATGTTTGCTGTGTTCGTCCTCATGAATAAGTGTGTTGCACATATGTTTTAGCATTTAGTCAGTCTTCAGAAGAACATCTACTGGGAATGTAATCAAAAGTGAATTAAATTTGCAGGTCAATTTGAAGAGCATTAACATGCCTACCATATTAAATCTTCTGACACAGGAACATGAGATGTCTATCTGTTCTGGACTTCCACTCTTACAAATCATATACGTGTTTATTTAGTTCTGTCTCACATATTCAGTTTCACGATGCCAAATAAATGCTATTTTTCTTCCATTTATAGTTAAACAATTTTTTACAATGCAAATAAATTTCATCTTTGTTATTGATCTTGTTTATGGTTATACTAAGTTTAATGATATAAATATTTATAGACATTTTACTGTTCTTTTTTCCTTTGCATGTAACTGAGTTTACAGGGTTGTTTCTTTTGAATTTTTTATTTTTTCCACTGGTTAGGATTTAAAATATGCTAAATAGAAGTGGACATAACAGGAGTCTGTTTCTTTCTTGAGCTCACTGAAAGTGCTTTCAATCATGTCCCATTAACTGTGATGATTCTATTTGTGCCTTACAAAAAAATCTTAGGAAAAGTCGAAGACCTCCCTCCTCAGTTTCTTAAGATTTTTTATTTATTTATTTATTTATTTATTTTTGGTTTTTCGAGGCAGGGTTTCTCTGTGTAGCTTTGCGCCTTTTCCTGGAACTCACTTGGTAGCCCAGGCTGGCCTCGAACTCACAGAGATCCGCCTGGCTCTGCCTCCCGAGTGCTGGGATTAAAGGCGTGCGCCACCACCGCCCGGCCTTAAGATGTTTTTTAACTATTTTGTTTTTACATCAAGAATGTGTGTTGAATGTTAGGAAATGCTTCGCTACGCCATTTATTGAGATGGCTGTATGAGACATCTCCTTACTTTTCCTAAATGGTTAAGGATTATGACCTGCTTTTAATAACAGCATCTTTATGATCCTGGAATAATCACAGTGCTGTGTTCTATTATCCTTTTAAGTGTACTGCTCAATTTTGTTTGCTTGTAAGTTGTTGATTTCTTTGTCTACATTCAAATCCAAGATGGCCTACAATTTTCTGTTCTAACGATGACTTGTGCTTGGATATCAAGGTTTTTAGACTATCCAATGGACTGAGAGGTATCCACTCTTCTTTGTGCTTCAGAAGAATTTACAAAATATTGAGGAAGCTAGTGTGAGTTTCTTTTTGTTTTATTTTTGTTTGTTTGTTTGCTTTGTTTTGAGTTACCATCTCACCCTGTAGCCCTGGCTGGCCTGGAATTTGCTGTGTAGAGCAGGCTAGCCTTGAACTCTCAAAAGTTTGTCTGCCTCTGCCTCCCAAGTGATGGGATTTAAAGTGTGTGCCACCATGAATATCTCCAACAGGTAGGGTGGGAAGCCAGCCTGGGTTACAAAGCATAGCCCTGTCTCAAAATTTTAAAAGTAGTGGAAAAGGAAATTAGTTATCTTGTTTGCTGGGTTGGGTGTTCAGCATGGTTTCCCTGTGCTAAAACTAAGGTGTAATACATGTTGTAGGAAAAAAACCCTTCTTCACCTTTTCTGGCTTCTATCAGCTTCAGCTTTGGCTCACGGGCCTTTCTTCTGTCTTTGGAACCAGCAGCATAACATTGAAACTTAAAATACATGTGTCCACTGGTTTTTGTTTCAGTGTGGTAAGTTGTGTTTTTCAAGGAATTTATCAATTTCACATATAGTCACGTTAATTGGCACTATTTTGTAATAATTTTTTTAATTAATTTAATAGGTTAGTGTATAAAATAATGGGCTACTTCATACATTTCCATGCATATGTGTTGTCATACTTTGCTCTTATTTGTCCCCTCCCTCCCACACTCTCTCGCCTTCTCCAGCTGGTTCCCTGTCCTCGCCCAGGTAGTTCCCACGTCTTCCTTCCTTCCTCCCTCTGTCCCTCTGTTTCTCTATCCCTCCATCCCTCCCTCCCTCTCACCTTCCTTCCTTCCTTTCTTTCTTTTTGATGCAGTGTCTTTCTACAGAGCTTTGGCTGTCCTGGAACTCGCTATGTAGACCAAGGTGGCCTCAAACTCACAGAGATCCACCTGTCTCTGCCTCCCTAGTGATGGGATTAAAGGTGTGCACCATCACTCATGGCCCCACTTCTGATTTCTTATTGTGTCATTACCCAATTTCTCATCTCACTTAAAATCCCCCCTCCCATCTCATGAAGGCCTTTTTGATTTATAACCTCATCCCACGTATATAAATGCACATTATATGTGTATGCACATAAATATAACTTTAAATCTAGTTTTCACATATGAGAGAAAATGCACACTATTTGATTTCTGAATCTCAATTATTTTACTTTAACATGATTTCCAGTTGCATCCATTTTTCTGCAAATGTTATTATTTCAGTTTTTATTGTGGCTGCATAAAACTATACTGTGTATATGTACCACATTTTCTTTACCCATTCATCTTTTGTTAGACATTGGGACTTGCCATATGGTATTTCTATTTTCAGTTTTGCAAGGTACTTCCACACTGACTTCAGCAGTGACCACTAAAATTTACATACCCACCTGCAGGGAATGACAGCCCCCTTCCCCACATTCTCAATAGTACTTCTTTTCTTGTTATAATTTATTTCATGTGCATATGTGTTTTAACTGCATGTATGTCTGTGCACCACATGTGTGCCTGATGACCGCAGAGGCCAGAAGAAGGTGTCAGGTCTGGAGTTTACAAATGGTGTGAGACACCATGTATGTGGGTGCTGGGAACCAAACTGGGGTCCTCGGGAAGAGCAGCCTGAACTGCTCAGCCATGTCTCCAGTCTCTCATTGGTTTCATTTGTTTGTTTTTTATGATAGCCACTTTGACCTGGGGAAAGACGGAATTTCCAAGCATTTTTAATGTACTTTTCTCTGATGGCTAAGAATATTGAGCAAGTATCTACTAACTCACAATTGTAGTTCAGTCTATTAGGCTCTATGATGATTGGATGGTTTCGAGGTTTGATGTTCTTTATATATCCTCTGTATGAATCCCCCTGTCTGATGTGTAGCAAGAAAACATTCTTCCCATTCTGTCTCTTTCTACTGATGAGTCCCTTGGCTCTGCAGAAGCTTTTGACTTTCACTCAATCCCTCTGTAAATCTGGCAGATTATCCTATGTGCTAGCAGAATTCTTTTCCGAAGACATTTGCCTATGCCTCTAACTTCAATTATTGCCCAATGTCATTCCTGACAGTTTCAAAGTTTCAGGTCCTGCTTATAGGCCTTTGATCCATTTTGATCCTTCTACATATGGAAATCTAGTTTTCCCAGCACCATTTGTTGAACACATTTTCTTTCCCCCATTGTAAGTTTTGGGCAGCTTTGTCAAAGATTTGTTGTCTTTAACTGTGTGGGTTTATTTCTAGGTCCTATCTATTTTATTCATCTACATGTCTGCTTTTGTGATAGTGCCATGCTGTTTTTGTTACAATGGCTCTAAAACATACTTTGACATCAGACACTCTGACACCTCTAGCATCTTTCTGCTAAGGTTTACTTTAAATATTCAGGGTCTTTTGTGCTTACATATGAATTTTAGGATTTTTTTTCCATTTCAGTGAAGAATGTAAGAACTGCTTTGAATAAATAGATGGTTTTCAGTAGTTCAACAATTTTCTTAATATTAATCCCACCCATCCATGAACATGGGAAGTCTTTCTTTTAGAATCTTTAATTTCTTGAGTATCTAGTTTTCAGTGTAGAGAGAAGTCTTCCACTTCCTTGGTTATGTGTACTTCTAGTTTTTTTAAACTACTGTGAGCTACACTTTCCCCTTGATTTCTTTGCCAACAGGCTTGCTATTGGCATATTGCTATTGGTTTTTGTATGTCGAGTTTGTCACCCCCTACCCGGCTGAAAGCGTTTATTGGACCCAAAAGTCCTTTGATGGTGTCTTTAGGGTCATGTGTCTCTGCAGGGTCATATGACTGCAGGGTTATGTCACCCAAAAATAGAGACATGGACTTCTTCCTTTTCTACCTGTATCGCTTTTGTTTGCTTCTCTTGTATTATTGGTGGAAGACTTCAAGGGCTCTTTTAAGTAAGAGTGGAGATGGGTGCACGCTTGTCTCATTCCAGATTTTAAAGTAAATGCTCCCAGGGTTTCTCCTGTTAGTATAACGTGGGCTATAGGTTTGTCATATACAGCCTTTATTATGTTAAGGTACATTCCTTCTATTTCCATTTATTCAGGGTTTCTATCATGAAAGGACGTTTAACTCTGTCAAGGTCTTTCCTGCATTGATTGGGATGGTCATGTGATTTCTGTCCTTGCATCCATTTACGTGCTGAATTTCATTTATTGGTTTGCATATGTTGAGCCAACCTTGCATCGTTCCTAGAATGAAAATAACTCAACCATGGTATACATTTTTTTTAAATGTGTTCTTTTTTCTGTTTTCCTTTTCTTTTATTCCTTTTTTTTTTAGTTTTGTCAAAACACTGTTTTCATGAATTGCTTTTATCACATCACATTTTTTAAAAATTAAACTGTTATTTTGAGACAAATATTCGTAAGTGGTTGTAAGTCACAAGTGGCTGGTTGTAAGAAACTTGTAGAAAGACTCATATGCTCCTTGTCTGGCTTCTTCTGATCACATGATTTCTATACATTTCTGTTATTCTTTTTGCTTATTAAGAGATTTTTCTATTCATTTTACACACCAACCTCAGATTCCCCTCTCCTCCCTCCCCCTGCCCCCCAGCCTTCTCCCGCAACCCACCCACCCCCATTTCCACCTCCTCTAAGGCAAGGTCTCCCATGGGGAGTCAGCAGAGCCTGGTACATTCAGTTGAGGCAGGTCCAAGCCCCTCCTCCCTGCACTGAGGCTGTGCAAAGTGTCTCACCATAGGTACTAATCTCCAAAAAGCTGGCACATGCACTAGAGGTCCGGATCCCACTGCCTGGGGGCCCTCTAAACAGTTCAAGCTAAACAATTGTCTCGCTTATCCAGAGGGCCTAGTCCAGTACCATGGGGCCTCCTCAGCTATTGATCCACAGTCCATGTGTTTCCACTAGTTTGGCTAGTTCTCTCTGTACTTTTTCCAATTATGGTCTCTCTCTTTTTTTTTTTTTTAAAGACATGATCTCAGGTATCTCGGGCTGGCCTAGAGCTCACTCTATAGCCAAGGATGCCCTTGAATTCATGATTCTTCTGCCTTTACTGAGATTTATGCATTACCATACCCAGTTTATGGTGCTAGGATTGAATCTAGGGCTTCATACATGCTAGCTAGGCAGGAATTCTATCAACTAAACTATATTCCCTGCCCACTTAATGTATTCTTGAATTAGGTTTCAAGAATTCAGTGGCCAATTGGAAACTGTTCTATAGCTTCCTTTCTCAGTATGTCCTTATCCTGTCTGGGTATTGAGACAATGTTGGCTGTGAGGTATGAATTTGGTTACACTTCTTTCCTTTCTAATATATTAATAGTTTGAAGAGTGTTGGTGATAGCTCTTCCTTTGAGATTTTGGAGAATTTGACAGTGAACCCATCTGTTCCTTGGCTTTTCTTTGTTGGGAGACATTTTATAACAGCTTCAGTCCCATTTATTGTTATGTATCTGTGCAAACTGTTTAGATCTTTGTGAGTTGGTAGTTCATATTTGTCTAGGAATTTATTCATTTCTTTGATATTTTCCAGGTTTTTTTTTAAATATAAACTTTTAAAGTATACTGTATTAACTCTCAATATTACATTGGAAGCTATACTAACCTCTGTTTTTATTCATCTCTAATTTTATTATTTGGGTCTTATGCTTGAATGTCTATTTCTTTCTCTAGATTTGGAGACATTTGTGCTGTAAAATCATTGAATGAATTCATTCTGCCTTTAGTTTTAAGCCTAACCTATTCTTAAGTTTCGTCTCTTGATCATATCCCAGAATCCTCGGCTTTTCTTGATATAGTCAATTATATTTGTTTCCTAATTGATAGGTGAATGAAATATTTTGACATTTTTGTTATCCACATTTGATGTTCTTTCCCCTGCTGGGTCCAGTCCTCTGGGGCCATTTCCCCTGTGTTTCATATTTGATCTGTTGTGTTTCTCATTTCCACATTTCTATTATTTTTCTCAAAATTTCAATTTTCTTGCTGAATTGTTCTCTGATGTTGCTGACTTTTTATCCATACTGATGATTTTCCTCTTCCACTTTGCTGAGTTTCTCCTTTATGTTGATAACATTCATCTTCTTTATTATATCGTTTTTCAGATCACAGATCATTTTTTTTTTTTAACCAGAAAACTCACCTGGCATTTGACCTGTTTTGATATCTTTGAGTTTAGTGGTTGAGGAATTATGATCATGTGCCCTTGCTTTTTCATGCTTCCTGAATTTCTGTGATTTATTCACCTCTTGCTTTGAATATCTCTTCTAGTCTCTCTCTCTCTCTCTCTCTCTCTCTCTCTCTCTCTCTCTCTCTCTCTCTCTCTCTCTCTCTCTCTCCTCTCTAGCTCTCACTGCCCTTGATCTCACTCTTTCTCTGTAGTGTGTTTGTGTTATATGGCTTTTTGTGTGTGGTGTGTATGTGTGTATTGTGTGTGTGTGTGTATGTGATTGGAGATTGAACCCCAAAAGTCATGCATGATTGTGGGGCATTTACCCACCAACCCCACAGCTCCCCAGAGTTTTCTTGAGTGTGAGCAGCAGGAAATATTAGATAGAAGGATTTATTGCAGAGAATCTTGCGGAGATAAACAGATAGAAAATAAAGGATAGCCTCGAGAGGGCCTGGAACCTATTCCAATGGCCCAGACTGTCTCTGCCCCAGGGTATTTATAGAGACGCCAAGGGGTGGAGCAAAAGACCTCCTCCCCCAGCACAGCCAAGTGCAGACCATCTCAGACACCTGCACTCAGGCCCATGGTCCTAATCATCCTCTATGCGGACCTGCTGGGTAAAGCCACGAGGAACCCGAAAACGGGCTCCCACACATGATATAGAAAAGTACTCTATTCACCAATTGAGGTTTATCCCTAGCCTTTATTTAGAATTTTAATATAGATAATGAGGCCACATTGTTTTCTTTTTCGATCAGTGTTGATAAACTTTTGTCTTTTAAAAATATTCTTAAAAAAGACCATTTAGCTCTATTGATTTTGTGTAAGAATGCAAAATGGTCATAGCCAGTATACAAATACCAAACTAGAATTCTGGTTGCAATTTTATTTAAATACATACATTAATTTGGGAAAGAATGATATTTTAACATTCTATCTTGGAAACTTGTCTGTTTAGAAATCTCTTCCTCCTTACCCATCCATGTGCTAGGGTTACAAGCACATGTTACCATAGTTAACAAATACTAGTTTCCCCCATATTCCCAGAATACTTTACAGTTTTTCTTCTTAGACCTTTTACCTTTCTCTGTCAGGGGGTGGGCCAGTGAAGAGAGGATCGTGCTATGTAGCCCTGTCTGACCTGGCATTCATTATACAGACCAGGTTGATCTTGAGCTCGTGTTAATCCTATGTCTCAGCTTGCCAAATGCTGGCTTTAGAAGCATGCACCATCATCCCTGCCTTTGTTTTTGTTTGTTTTTTTTTCCCCTTTCTTGTGAGAGTCTTTGTAAGGTACTTTCTCAGTTGTGGTTTTTATTAAAAAAAAAAAAATTTAATCCTCCTGACATTTAAATGTCTGTTAATGAAAACTATGAATTTCCATATTTTATTCTGTATCTGATCACATAATATGATTCCTTCAACAGTGAGCTTTGGTGTTGATGGGCAACTAACAATGCGGTAAGCGTTGTCCACACATTTCCATCTCATGACAGTTCCATATAGATGATATCATCACTTCAGATCTACAGATGAGGAAACTTGGGTCCATAGCAAAATTCCTCAATTGTTTTAGGAAATTAGCCCTCTAAGCTAAAAATTTTTAAATTTGTTGCTTACCCATATTTATGAATTTTAATTCAACTTTAAGTTTACTATAAGAATATGAATCTAAATGTAAACTTAAAAAATGGTTGTCTCACTTTTATTGTATTGACTAAAACTTATAAAGCATTGTTGAATAATAGAAAATGGATGTATTTTTGAGTTTCTGATTTTAATAGAAATGTGATTTTTTTTTCTAAAGCTTGTTGTCTTTCTTTTTGAGAACAGACAGGTGTAAAGACAATCAGTCTCTAGGAGAGTCCAGGAGCCAGAAGACTTGGATGTGCCGGTCAAGCATGACTGGAGAATGTCAGAAGTAATAGAAGTCATCTTTTGCCCACAGATTCAAGCAAAAAACAGGTACCCACTGGGGCTGAGAGAGAAGACCAAAGACCACAGGAGTCAAACCATCTGATCAAGAGTGTAAGAGAATGAGGTGGGGAACCTTTGGGACTAATGCCTTTGTCAGGGTAGTTGTTTGGGGTGGGCCACTAGCATAGTCTTTCTAGGTGGAGACCTTTATGTGGGCTTCCAGACTGTAAACTAAGAAAAATGCCCAAACCGTCCGTTAGAACAACAGCCTCTAGGTATGTCTGACAGGGTGTGGGCACTGCACTTCTTTCTCTGCTGGAAGCTGAGTTCAAAACAAGTCCTATTATCTGATGAACACTTCCTAGCTATGGGACAATCTATGCTCACTGAGTCCCAGGAAAGCATGTATCCTGAAGTTAGCCTCTGGCCCTAAGAAGATGAACCTCAAAATGCTTAAATATAAGACCTAGAGGAAACAGAAATTTATTTAGGGGCTTATTTGTTGGAATTTGTAGAGGAGTTATTTGAGGAGAGCTTTATGTCTTTTAATTACACCAAGTATCTGGGGCCTTTTGAAATGAAATTTTCCTTAATGCCTTTTCCCAAGAGCCTGGGATTGTGTATTTTAAGAAATAAAATGTGTGTCTTGGTTATTACCAGTGATATCTGAATGTAATAAGGCATGCCCTAGAAAGACTGTGTATCTAGACCTTAGAGTATATAGAGAGACAAAGCTGATTTTTACTTCTATCTTGGGTATTCATGAGGCATGAACATCTCAGTGTTTTCCCCATTAAGAGAGCTCTTTTCAAGTAATTGCCCAGTGGTTTATAATAATATGAAAAGGATACCATTGATGACCCAGCCGTCCAGGGCTAAGGTGACTGCCTAACATTAGGCACATGTTCTATTTTTTTGTCTTTGTCCTTTAGCAGGGACATTCTGGTTAAATGATTAAAATTAACAATAGCTCATTAAGGTCTCTTGCTTGGGATAGTTAGCAGAAGCATCCTATAATCATAAATTTCCATTTTTGTACACCCAGTGACTCCCAAAGTGCTCTTCAAATAGTCAAGGACCCACAAGAAGGTAGTTCCCACTACATTATAGTACTTTTCAATGGAAATCATCTTGCAGGTGGAATATTCTAGAAGGCCATATTGGCTAACTCCTGTCTCATGATACTGTGGTAGCTGCAAGAACTTTGGACATCACTGGGTAGAGGCACACAGAGACATGTGGTGGGGTTGCTTCCAACACAGGAGGCAAAATCATCTCCAATGGTGAGGTTACAGGTTGCGCTGGTATCATACGAAGCAATGCTTTCACAAGCAGTGAGATTGGAGGCCAGCTCAAGGCTATTTCCTTGAACTAAAACATAATGGGCATCCAGGTAGGGAAGTTCACTAGCTCAGAGATTTTGACAGTCTCTGTTTTTCTGAAGACCCACAAGTGGCCTACTGTTTGTTGTTTTGATGGTGAAGAGCAAAAGGCTAGGTGCACAAATTTTCTTGCACCAGAATCCCTGAAGCTGTTATTGACCATCCTAAGTAGTCAAGACTCCAGGAAGCATAAGAAAAGGCTGTCAAAGGGTTTATCAGATAAAAGGCTTTGTTATCTTATTTTTGGGGTACTGATAGATAGTTACTGTGCCCCTTCAGAGACAGAGGCAAACTGTAATGGAGAAACTGATGAGATAGGCTTTTAGCAGAGCACGTTAGCCAAATCTATAAGAAGAAAATGTGGACAAGTTGATTGACAGAATTGGCCTCTACTCCAGTCCTGAGGACTTAACACAGGTCTTGCAGATACCTAACAAGTGCTCTGCCACCGAACTAGGTCTTTTTCTTTTTTTTAACTTTTTATTTTGAGACAGGATGCCACTTAGTTGCCCAACCTGGCTTTGAAATTATGATTCTTTGTGATTCTCCCACCTCAGCCTCCAAATTAGCCAAGATTACAGGTTTGCATCACAAGGCCTGGCTTAGAATCAGCACTTTTAATAATATTTGGCATAAGAATCTCGATGGATGGATACAGAGTGGGGATTGTAGTAATGTATGGTGACACACTTGTAGCTAGAGTTTTCCTGCCTGGCCCACAGTCAGGACAAATCTCTCTCACCTGCCAGTCTCACAACTGCTCAGACCCAACCAAGTAAACACAGAGACTTATATTGGTTACAAACTGTATGGCCGTGGCAGGCTTCTTGCTAACTGTTCTTACAGCTTAAATTAATCCATTTCTGTAAATCTATACCTTGCCACATGACTCGTGGCTTACCGGCATCTTCACATGCTGTTTGTTATCGTGGCGGCTGGCAGTGTCTCTCTGACTCAGCCTTCCACTTCCCAGCTTTATTCTCCTCCTTGTCCCGCCTATACTTCCTGCCTAGCCACTGGCCAATCAGTGATTTATTTATTGACCAATCAGCAACACACTTGACATACAGACCATCCCACAGCACACACTGTTTATTTTTTCCAGAAATAATAAGTCAAAATGGGATATCAAATGGAGAAACAGTGGTGATAATAGCCCTTTTATTGATTAGGCTTTCTATAATGGGTTTCCATACCTAAAGTTCCCTTTTAACTTACATTAGGCCATTTTAACTACTTTCACTGAGGGCTCATAGGGCCCCATTTCATCAAGCCAATGTCTAAGTATTAAAAGAGCCCCTTTGTTTTAATCTACTAGTTATCTGGTCAGAGTATTTGTTCTCAACATAAAATCTTTTACAGCAAATGGTCTATGATGGGATATTATTGACAAGGCTATGAATACAGTGAGGCATACTTGCTGTGGAATAATCCTGCACACTGTGAATATGTATTACTCTGATTGGTGTAATAAAGAAGCTGACCGGCCAATAGCTGAACAGGATAAGGTTGGGTGGGAGAGCCAGACTGAGAATGCTGGGAGGAAGAAGGGTAGAGTTAGGAGTCACCAGCAGACACAGAGAGAAGCAAGATGGGCATGCCATACTGAGAAAAGGAACCAAGCCACGTGGCAAAGCATAGATAAGAAATATGGGTTGATTTAAAATGTAAGAATTATCTAGTAACGAGCCTGAGCTACTGGCCAACAATTTATAATTAATATAAGCCTCTGTGTGGTTACTTGGGAGCTGCTTGCAGGACAGAAAGTTCTACCTACACATACTCATTTTCTTTTGTTTACAGCTAGTTACCTTCTCAGAATCAATGATATAAGATTCAAATTTACTAGGGTCATGCTATTATGATAATTTGAGCCCCAATCCTGATATGGCCATGAATTTCAACAACAGTGCGTCTTAGCACACAATACAGCTAAGTTAGTGCCTGTGTTGTAGAGACATAGAAGCCCACTGGTGCCATTTAAAATATCTTTTTGTTACAACTCTTCAGTACAAAAAGTTTAGATTTCCAGTGGAATTGAATTACAGAAAAGTTTTAATTTAGGTAGCTATTGTAACTGCCTATACTATGTGCAATTCTTTATTATATCTGTACATAAAAATATTACATATGGCATATTAATTACGATTCTTCCCCATTCTTCAGTAAGTAATCTAGGGCTATGTGCATCATACTCAGCCTCCACACAGTACTTGCTTTAATAACTGTTCTATTGCTGTGAAGAGACACCACAACCATACAACTCTTATAAAGGAAAGCATTTAACTGGGGCTGGCTTACAGTTTCAGAGATTTAGTCCATTATCATCTCATGACAGGGAGCATGTCAGCATGCAGGCAAATGTAGTAGTCAAGAGTTCTACATCTAGATCCATAGATCTGAAGGGAACAGGAAGAAGGAGACTCTAGGCTTGGCATGGCCTTCTGAAACTCCAAACCCCATCCCTAGTGACACACTTCCTCCAACAAGGACACACCTCCTAATCCTTTCAAATAGTGCCACTCCCTGGTGACCAAGTAGTCAAATCTATGAGCCTATGGGGCATTCTCACTCAAACGACCACAGTACTTAGTGTTTAAAGTTCCCCTCTCCTCCTCTGACTTGACACCTAAGACAGTGACTTCTCTTGTCTTCTTTTTTTTGTCTTTCTTGTTAAAGGAAGAAGGGGGCCTTTATTTCTAAGCAATACCTTCCTCCTGTGGTTGTCTTGACTGCAAGATTGCCATCCTCTTACTTTATTACCCTCACCTTTAAGGGTAAACTTTTTTTTTAACTTGTATTTTCTTTTTTTTTTTAATTAAGAGATTTTCTATTCATTTTACATACCAACCACAGATTTCCCTGTCCCCCTTCCTCCTTCTCCTGAGCCTTCCCTCCCAACCCATCCCCAATTCCCACATCTTCCAAGGCAGGGTCTCCTATGGGGAGTCAGCAGAGCCTGGTACATTCAGTTGAGGCAGGTTGAAGTCCCTCCTTCCTGCACCAAGGCTGCGCAAAGTATCTCCCCATAGGCACTAGGCTCCAAAATGCCGGCTCATACACTACTGACAGGTCCTGATCCCACTTCCTGAGACAGTTCAAGTTAAACAACTGTCTCGATTATCCAGAGGAGACTAGTCCAGTACCATGAGGGCTCCTCAGCTATTGGTCCACAGCTATTGTTTCCACTAGTTTGGCTAGTTGTCTCTGTACTTTTTCCAATCATGGTCTCAATATCTCTTGCTCATAGAAATCTTCCTCTCTCTCATCGATTGGACTCCTGGAGCTCTGCCAGGGCCCTGGCCATGAATATCTGCATCTGCTTCCATCAGTCACTGGATGAGGGTTCTATGGTGACAATTAGGGTATTCAGCCATCCGATCACCAGAGTAGGCCAGCTCAGGCACCCTCTCCATTATTGCCAGCAGTCTATAGTGGAGTCATCCTTGTGGATTCCTGGGAACCTCCCTAGCACTCTGCTTTTCCCTATTCCCATGGTGTCTTCATTTATCATGGTATCTTTTTCCTTGCTCTCCCACTCTGTTCCTGTTCCAGCTCAAACCTCCCACTCCCCTAAGCTCTCATTCCCCGTCCCTTGCCCTCCATTACTCCCCTCTCACCCCCAGTTTGCTTATGTAGATTCCATCTATTTCTCCATTGCTGGACAATCCATGTGTCCTTCCTAGGGTCCTCCTTACTAGCTAGCTTTGCTGGAGCTGTAGGTTGTACTCTGGTTATCCTT